TGAATTATCAATAATTATTAACTCTAATAAAAAACCTGTTTAATTTATCACATATAATCATCAAACAATAATCTAATTTAAGATAATAGGTGTTCAAAAAGTATCCTAACAAGCAAACTAAAAAAGAAAAAAAAAGTAAGAAAATAACATAAAAACATACACGCCAAAGGTGTTAAATTCACGGAAGAATTGGTAATGATGCCAACTAAACAAACCATACGTATACATTTTAAGTATTTATTATGTTATACAAAAAGAATGAAGTCATTAAGCCTCTTCTTCCAAGAGTTTACCTACACTGGATTGCTGGAAATAATTAAAGGCGCGACTTGTTCAATGAATGGTGAAAACATCATCAGGAACCCCACCAGTACTTGAGAAAGTAGAGAAATCAAAGCATAAAAAATAATTCTGTGAAGCTAAAAGGGTAACTTAGAAAATTACCAATGGAGGCGTGTTGTGTAAGAGGCAAGCAATAGTGAATGAGTTGGGGGCGGTGAGCTCAGGGCGGTGGGGAGCTATGAGTAGGGTAAGTTTGGGGCAAATGACAGGCGGTGAGCTTAGGGCACATGAGGGATGACAACTAACGACGGGACTGAGGCAGCTGAGGGGAAAGACGAAGTTGAGGGGAGGGAGGGAGCTGAGGGGAGTAACAGGAGCTGGGGGCAATGAGCTAGGCATAAGAGAGACTAGAGGGGAGCTGATGGCATAGAAAGCCAAGCTGGGGGCATGAATGAGGAGCTGGGGGCGCGAGGGGTGCCTATCACCAAAAGTTTGTCTAAAAAACAAACAAAATAAATTATTTATTTATTAATTTATTTTTGATATAATTTTTTTATTTAATTATTTCTGAATTCACACACAATAAATGTGTCTGAATTTAAACATATTAACATATCTGAATTTAAATATATTTATTTAAAATTAATTAATATTTCATTATCAAATATTTATGATTTATTTTTTAAATTTTTAAAAATTGAAATACTGTCTTGTATCATTTATGGCGATAGGTCCAACATTGATCTATCGTCATAAATAATTTAGTTTATGTTTATTAATTATTTTATTATTTAATGTAAATTTAAATTTTTTATTATATAATGTGTCTGCATTAAGATACATTTAATTAAAAATTTTTAATATTTTCATATTAAATTAGGTTTTTACTTATTATTTATTTTTTTAATTTTAGCAAATTTTTAATCGACTGAGGGTTATTTATGGGGGTAGTTACACATTTGACTTTTTGCTATAAATATGTTATAAATAAATAATATAATATAATATAATTATAAATATATTAAAATAAAATAATTAATCGATAATAATTAAAATTATTTATCAAATTTAATTTATATTCACTGAATTCTTACATAATTTTTATATCATAAATTTTAAATCATTTAAAATATTGTTAATAATTTATTTTGTTTAGTTCATTTAACTAATTTTTTATTTCATATTAATTAATTTATTAAATTTATTTTAATATGTTGATTTCAAAAATAATAATAATTTAGTCTTAATTAAGATTATAGTTTATAATTTATTTAATTTATTAAATGAATATTACAACAAATTTCAATGTGATTTATGGTGATAGGCCTTTTGTGTGCCTGTTGCCCTAAATATGTCTAATTTTTTAGTATAACTAAATCATATACAATTATTAATTTAATTAATTAATTAATTAATTTTATTGATATCATTTATGGCGAAAGTTGGATTTTATGTCTACCATCATAAATGATTCATTTTTAACCTAATTTACATATTGTTACTAAATCTTTTATTATTACAGTTTTTGGACCAACTGTGGCGGAAAATGTGTGGTTAAATTTACATTTTATAATAATGGGCTAAGAATAGAATGAAGATTGAGTCGAATGAGATAAATTGAGAGTGAGATGGGTGAAAAATGGACATAAGCCAATTTCTGGATGTTGCCTTGTTCAGAGTTGCAGACATGAGTACTGACACTCATGAAAGAAGATGTAGTGTCAGTGTAGAGGATTGTACTAAGGCTACTAAGTGTGACGAAGGCTCAGATTATCTTAGTGGAACTAGTAGAGAAAATCTCAAGTGGTGCTTAAGGATTGGACGTGGGCTTAAGTGGTTAGAGCTGAATTAGGATAAATATCTGTGTAAGCTTCTCTTCCTTTTTTTTTTATTGTGTTTGGTGATATCATTCTAAACTCATCTCTTTAATCTTATTATCATTAGCTAAATTTTTACAATGCCCAATTCACCCTTTTTGAGACAGACTTTTAACTTGTTGTTCTAGTTATATATACATATATTATAAAATTGAATTTGATTATTATTTTTTAATTATTATAAATTTGAAATTAAGTTGGGATAATGGAAAGTCACTAGACCTAAACTTTCAGTTAAAATGGAATAATTGATAGATATATGGGGGACAAGTAGCTTTATTCATTTTTGAAATAAACATAAAACATAAAAAATTAAACATAAAAAACACATGGCATCACTAGAAATAAGCTTGCTATTTGTGTGTGTGTGTGTGAAGAGAGAGAGAAAAAGATAGATAGATAGATATTATAAGTAGTGTTTAGTTATATCATTGTGATATGACTTATAAGTTATGTTGATTTTATTTTTAAATTATGAATCTCCATTACTTAAAATGGCCTCATCCTATTAAAAGAACTTTTAGCAAGTATTTGATGAATATTTGAGATTGAGATTTTTGTATGTATTTTTATAATGGCGAGAATATTTTTATTACTCAAATAAATTTTTTTTTTTCAAGCGTATATGAATCTATGGTATAAAATTTGAAACATGGCTTATGAATGTTATATGGACTTTGAAAAAAAAAAAAAGAAAAGGTTTTGAAGAGTTGATTTTTGATATACCTGAAAACATTCACAGAGAATAAAGCGAATTACAAAGCAGATTTTCTTGTTTTTGTTTGTTTTTTTTCTTTTCTTTTGTTTTTTTTTTTGGCCTAAAAGCAGATTTTCTTGTTAGAGTTCTAATAAGTGCCACGGTAAGGCTAAGCTTTTGTTTTTTTTAATGATTTCACTGTAGTTAAGAGCTGTTTTTAAAATAACAATAGGCAAGATGTCCATTTCTTTAACTTGTATTATTTAAATATTGAAGCAAGAGTGCTTATATTTCGTTCCAACTAAAGTTTATTGACTTTCCTTAACATTTTCATTAAAAACATTATCCAACTCTTCAAGGAATTTATAGTGAAATTTATACAAAGATTCATGAATGAATATTATAATATCAATTGAGATTAAAATTGCAAATTGTTGTGGGCGTGATATCTGATCTCATATTTGAACTTATAATATGCTACCTCAAATGTAAGGTAGTGTATCACATTAGAGTTATTATAATATCATATCACCTTGGCTAAGGATTTGAATGGTAACTGGCTATTTGGTTTCAGTAGCAAATTAACCCCTTGTCCGCCAGCTATCGAGCGGATTCATGGATTATTATAGGGTTTGGAATCCGTTTGGGAAGAGGCTTTCAAAAGATTTAATGTCTACACCGATTGTGCTGAAAAAATTAATTTGCTCACAAGGGATCAGCTATTCCATCAACCCTTCCAGAGATTGGCTTGTTCTTTTGGTGTGTGTTTGGTTTTTAATTTTTTAAAAGTCTATATGTTAAAAGTTTATTTTGACAAAAATCAATTTAATAAAAGTCAATTGCTATAACAAAATTTATGTTTAAATATATTTTTTTAAAAAGTCAATTTAGTAAACTGAAAGTTGTTAGGATTATGATAATGTTTTTAAATGAACAATTATTAAAAAAATATTAATTTATGATAATTTATAATTTTTATTATACAAATCTAATATATATAAAATGTTTAAAAAATATGATAAAAATTTTCAATACCATAAAATTGAATATGTTAAATAATAAAAATAAAAAATATAAATTTTAATATGTTGAAAAATTATATAATAAATAGTTTAACATAAATTAATATTGAAAATTAACATGATTGAAAAGATATATATGATAAATTTTTTTATTCAAAAAAATATTTAACCAATTGGACAAACTTTTGTTGGTTAATAAAAATTGTAAATAATAAAAAAATTGATATATTAATTAATAACAGTATAAAATATAAAATTTGATACATTGAACAAAAATTATATAAATAGTTGAATATACATCAATGCTAAAAATTAATAAGATTAATTATTCAATCTATAAGGTTAAAAAATTGATCTCTAATAATAATAATAATTATTTAAATAATAATTATATTTTTAATAAATTAACGATGTAATAATAATTATTTAAATAATAATTATATTTTTAATAAATTAACGATATATTTTAAATAAAAGAATAACATATTTAAGAGTTAGCATGGTCAAAAAATATCTAATTTTTCAAATTTACTTTTCAAATCCTATCACAAGTTACTTTCACAAATTTACATCCAAATTATTTTATGAAGTACTTTTCCAAAGTACATTTTTCCAATTATTTGGTACCCAAATAACTTTTCCTATTTCAAATGTTAGAAAGTAATTTCCAAATGTAAAATTTGATTTACCCAAACACATCCTTAGACCTTTTCAATAGAGTCTAGTAGAGTAGCAAAACTTAAGGTCATAGCTTATCTTATGTTTTTAAATCCTTAATCAATTACCAACTTTTGTATATGCTTGATGTAAAAATATTCCTTCCGTCTCAAATTATAGGGTACTTTTAAAAAAAAAATTTATCCTAAATATAAGATAGTTTGAATATATCAAGGTTTCATTAAATTTATTGTTTCTCATATTACCCTTTCTCTTTATATAATTAATTTTTATTTTTTCTTTTTAATATATTAAATTATGAATATTTTTAAAATTTATATTTTTATTTAAAAAAAATAAAATTATTAAATATATTAATAAAATTTATTAAAAATATTTTATAATTTAAAATGAGAGGAGTAACATGTAAGCTTGCAGTTCGATTTGGATAAGGAAGGAGGAAGGTGATGAGCAGCCTCCTCCAATGAAGCTTCAACCTTTCAACTGCAATAACTAACTAAACCACATGTCTTCTTTAACCCCCCTTCTCCCTCCACTCTCTCTTCCCTTCTCTTCCTCTTTTCTTCACAATCCCCTTCCTCCTGCTCTAACCCACCTCTCCGGCGACGGCCACAGCAACATCACCGCCGTCGCTGCTGCCAACTCTCCGACTTCTCCTGCCCCCAACTTCTCCACTACTACTTCCACCGTACAACCTCTGTTACAATCTCGTTCTCCTTCCTCATGGATCGAAGATCTTCGCTCACTGGCTCGGTCCAATCTATTCGACGAAGCCATTTTTGCATATATAAAGATGATGACCCTGTCGGATGGTCAACCCGACAACTTCGCTTTCCCTGCTGTTCTAAAAGCCGTAGCGGGTATTCAGGATTTGGATTTGGGCATACAGATGCATGCCCATGTCGTGAAATTCGGGTTTGCTTTGTCTTCTGTGACCGTGGCTAATTCCCTTGTTAATATGTATGGGAAATGTGGAGATATCGTGGGTGCTTACAAGGTGTTTGAAAGAATTACTGATAGAGATGAAGTTTCGTGGAATTCAATGATTTCTACGTTATGTAGATTTGAGGAGTGGGAATTCGCTTTAGAGGCTTTTCGTTTTATGATATTGGAAAATTTGGAGCCTAACTCGTTCACTTTGGTGAGTGCTGCTCTTGCTTGTTCCAACTTGCGTGAGCATGATGGGCTTAGGCTTGGAAAGCAAGTGCATGCGTATACTCTGAGAAAAGGGGATTGTAGATCATTCACAAACAATGCTCTGATGGCAATGTACGCGAAATTAAGAAGAGTTGATGACTCAAAAGCTTTATTTGAGCTCTTTGATGACAAAGATTTGGTCTCTTGGAACACCATTATTAGTTCCTTCTCACAAAATGATCATTTTGTGCAGGCCTTGTTACACCTTCGCCTTATGCTTCTTGATGGAGTTAAACCTGATGGGGTTACATTGGCGAGTGTTCTGCCTGCTTGCTCCCAATTGGAGCTGTTAAATACTGGAAAGGAAATACATGCTTATGCCCTGAGAAACACTGATTTAATTCATAATTCTTTTGTTGGCAGTGCTTTAATTGACATGTATTGCAATTGCAAAGCAGTTGAAAATGGTCGACTGGTTTTTGATGGAATCTCGAAAAGGACGGTTGCTGTCTGGAATGCTATTATTGCTGGTTATGCACAGAATGAGTTTGATGAGGAAGCCTTGAATCTCTTCATGGGAATGATATCTAGTTCTGATTTTTGTCCTAATGCAACTACATTATCAAGCATTCTACCAGCTTGCGTGCGTTGTGAAGAATTTTTATACAAAGAAGGCGTCCACGGTTATATACTAAAAAGGGGCCTCCAGAAGGATAGATACGTGCAAAATGCATTGATGGACATGTATTCCAGAATAGGTAAGATAGAGATTTCGAAATTCATCTTTGACACCATGGGTGAAAGAGATATAGTTGCTTGGAATACAATGATCACTGGTTATGTTATTTGTGGAAGGCATGATGATGCACTTAATCTTCTACGAGACATGCGAAGAGAAGAAGATGAAGACAATCTCGGCACGGATGATGTTTATGAGGATGATGGAGTTCCCCTCAAGCCAAACTCCGTAACACTCATGACAGTGCTTCCTGGTTGTGCTGCCTTGACAGCACTGGGTAAAGGGAAAGAGATTCATGCCTACGCCATCAAGCAAAAGCTGGCGACAGTTGTTGCTGTAGGAAGTGCGCTAGTTGACATGTATGCAAAATGTGGTTGCTTGAACTTATCTAGAAGGTTGTTTGATCAAATGCCTGTAAAAAATGTTATCACCTGGAACGTTCTCATCATGGCATATGGGATGCATGGGAAAGGTGAGGAAGCCTTGGAACTTTTCAGAAAAATGGCAGCTGAAGGAGCCGAGAACGGCAGAGTGAGGCCTAATGAAGTGACTTATATTGCTATATTTGCTGCTTGTAGCCATTCCAGAATAGTGGATGAAGGCCTTGCTTTATTCAATACAATGAAAGACGAACGTGGGGTTGAACCACAATCTGATCATTATGCTTGTCTTGTAGACTTGCTTGGTCGATCTGGTCAAGTGGAAGAGGCATATAGGATGATCAATTTGATGCCATCTGACATGGATAAACTGGAAGCATGGAGTAGTTTGCTCGGCGCTTGTAGGAATCACCGGAATGTAGAAATCGGTGAAATTGCAGCAAAGCACCTATTTGTGCTGGAGCCAAATGTGGCAAGCCACTATGTTCTTTTGTCTAACATATACTCTTCAGTTGGATTGTGGGACAAGGCAATGGTTATTAGGAAGAAAATGAAAGAAATGGGAGTGAGGAAAGAACCTGGTTGTAGTTGGATTGAGTTTGGTGATGAGGTGCATAAGTTTGTGGCTGGGGATATGACACATCCACAAAGTGAGAATTTGTATGAGTTTCTTGAAATTCTGTCAGAGAGAATGAGAAAGGAGGGATATGTGCCTGATACTTCTTGTGTACTTCACAATGTTGATGATGAAGAGAAAGAACCTCTGTTGTGTGGACACAGTGAGAAACTGGCAATAGCTTTTGGCCTTCTGAATACTCCTCCTGGAACAACCATTAGAGTAGCTAAGAACCTTAGGGTCTGCAATGACTGTCATCTTGCTTCTAAATTCATATCAAAGATCATGAATAGGGAGATTATTTTGAGAGATGTAAGAAGGTTCCATCATTTCAGAGATGGAACTTGTTCTTGTGGGGATTATTGGTGAAAAGAAAATAAATAAAAGAATTTTATTAAGCTCTTGTTCTAATCAGAACTGCTAACAGCGTAATGATCCATGCATGTTATGCACAAAGTACGTGACATTTGAAATGTTCACTATTCATAAGGTCACGTATCATATCTGCGCGCGGCTTCATGTCTTTAATTTTTTTTCCTTATGAGTTTTTTTTCTCTTGTTTTATTTTTCAAATTTAAAATTTTTTCTCCTCTATTTCATTTAAACTCTTCGTTTTAAATTTAGTCATGTTGAATCTTAAATATTCGATGTAATACGGGGAGATGAGATTCTTAATTAATCTTAGTTTTTGAGAGATGAATTAACCATATAATTATTCTTAATTATCCTTATTCTCTTTGATTTTCACCCAAAAGATGTCTTAAAAATAAAATCCAACTCTATGAAAATTCAAAGTGAAAAAAAAAGTGTAAAAGAATAGGATATATTCACAAAATAGTTTGCGTGTTCAATCAATTAAAAAGTATAAGTCTATCTTAGAAGTAGAAGGATAGGCGAGCTCAGCCTTTAAAGACTCAGGTCATTGAGCTTGATTTTTTAAGAAATGGTCGATTTCTAATACCCAATCCTTATGTGAAGGGCTTAAAACTGAGCCTATAAGCCTATTTTATTTTTTAAAAAATTTAAAAAAAATAAATAAATACAAATATAATTATGAAATTTTAATCAAGTTTTAAAATAAAGATAGAAATTTTTAATCTAGATCAATCTTATTAAATCAAAAAAATATAAAAACTTATGTATTCTAGAGTACAACATTAATCAAGCCTAAGAAATAGACCTTACAAAGTAATCATATTTAAAAAATTAATTAAAAAATTTGTTAATATCGTGTTAAAATAAATGACAAAAGAACTAACATCAATTATTTTGACTATACAATATTTGAAAAATTATCAATCTTTTAGGGAATAGGGTTTAGAGAGTCGCTCGAGCTAGAGCCCGAGCCTTTTTTTTAGGATTTATCAAGGCTGGGCTTAAAATCTCAATTTTTCAAAAAATCACCAATTTTTTTAATACCAAACCCTTATTTAAATAGGGCTTTCAAACTTGCCATTTCAAACCTGATCCTTATTTTCAACTCTAGTCTCTCTCTCTCTCTTCCCCCGACTCCCTTTCTCTCTCCCTTGCCCCCTCTCTCCCCTCCCCCAAAAATGAATGTATTGCTTTATAATATGTACAAGTCATTGGGATTAAAAAAAAAAAGCACAAAGTCAAGTTATACTATCAGATAAAATGATGCATACATATAAAATGGATATAAAAGGAAAAAAGTCATTGGGATATAAAATATAAATTCTTCCCTCCATCTTACTTAGCTCTTGAGATGTATTTTTTTTTTTTTGGTAAGCATCTAATATTTTGAACCTGCCTCACCTAAGAAGTAATGACTTAATAGAACCTAGACTAATCTGGATCAACGCATAACAAGTATCATAAGGGTGGGCACCCCTGGCAACTTATACTACTACATTCTCAAGATGCGAACTTGGGACCTTTGGATAAGATAGAACAACTATTGCCAATTGATTTAAATACTTGTGGTTGTGTTTTTTATTTAATCAAGCTCAAATTTATTTATTAAAAAGATTCATTAGTATAGCACACCTAAAAAGGATCAACCTTTTATACAAAAAAAAAGGAAATAAAAAGAACTGTATAAAACAGCAAGTAATGGGCTCCCATAACAATAGTCCAAAAAGACTCTACCAGCATTTAGGATGAGGACTTGCTAATCGATGGAGACTAGAGCATTCAATGCAACAATTGCATGATCTTACCAATAAAAAATTAATCGAGTTAGCAAGGATTTAGCTCATATTTCACAAGGTTGTAAGATCAAATCTCATTATTAATGTTAGGAACTTGTTGATAGATGATTTTTAAGTACCTCTGTAAATGCTTATTCTCTCAAAAAAATTGCATGTTCTTCTGTGATCCATCTCCATACAAGCAAACTTGTGGAAGGGGTACCTAGAAGGTATAGAAGAGAACAAAAAGTTGGCAATTTGGCCAAAAACTAGCCACGACAAGCAAATATCCTAAATACAAATGTATCTACACAGTTAGAAGACTCAATCGCAAGCTATTTTGAGAGCCTTATGGAATGATTGTAAAACAGAGCTAGGGAAAACCAAAAAGTAACATGACAAGTAGCCTGAAGAAAACAAAGGATAACATAGCACTACCCATTTCAATGTATCTCTTTGTTGACCTACATCATATTTTCATGAGCTGAGCTTTTGGTTACAAAGCTTGCAAAACCAAGACTCACACCCATGTTTGAAGCATCAAGGAGGTTAACATCATTTTTTTTAGTTTCCTAAAGCATTATTGTAATATTTGACTTGACAATATCATAACAAGACAATTACCATGGTAAAGGATTTAACTAATCCTCTTTAGCTACCATTCTAGAAAGGGTTAAATTAATAATTAAACATTTAAAACTAGAATCCCATTTTAAAATCATTCAAGTATTTGAGCTCAAACATGTCAATGAAAATTAGAGTTTAATAGATGCCAAAGCATAGGGACAACATTCAAAGAAATAAATGAAAATATACAAAATAGTGATTTTTTTATTTGCCACGGAAGATGATGTAGAGAACCTTAGTCTGCACTATATTATGTGCTGCTACGCATCATGCAAATCATGACAACATACCAGGATTAACTTTCGACATGCACCATTTCTTTGTATGACGTTTAATTGGAGTGATTCAAGTATCCACACTGAGCTTATTTAGTCATCTAGCTAATAACACTGATACCTAGATGCAAAATAGTCACTTTTCTAAAAGAAATATGTAACCAAGTGTCTTAAAACCCAACCATTTGCCATTAGCTTCAATTGAGACTTGAACCACATCCAATGGACCAAAAAATGCTTGATTGAACATATATAAAAGTAATTATACAATTCAAACAAGATTTGGCCAATCAAAAATTGTAATATCAACCAAAATAGGGTCAAATGCTTAAGGCATTGTACATTGTACAAATTGGACATTTTACAACATAACCAAGTTAAGCACTATCCAACATGTACTAGCACTAGCATTTCAACCCCACACCCCAATTACATCTCAAAAACATAATTTAGACCAAAATGCAATACACAACAATCATTCACATCATGCAAATACATTCAAAAACTATATGCACATCCTAGTTGGCAATGTGCATGGATATATAATCATTTACACATTAAATATAGTTTCAGGGCATTACAAAATTAGTAAACATGACTACTCTTTGCCTGACTCCTCTCCTTTGCTCCTACTAGCACTATCACCTATAAAATAGTAACCATGAGATGAGATAGAGTCCTAGTAACTAAGTAATCTAAACTATCTATCAGTAAATTAAATTGTAAACAAGCATGCAAAGTAGGATAACTATAAAACATGTGATCATGGCAAACAATGGAATTATCAATAAGATATAACATGCATAATCACATATATATACCTTATCCTTCACAACCACCTTCGACTAAATCCGTAGGCTAATAATATACTAGACCAAATATATGTGACTAGATTAGCCTGATCTTACTTAATATGAAAGGCAACTCGGCTAAAGGCACTGTAACCACTTTTGAACTATGGATTCCTCTTTTTCAAATACTTTAGGTGTCATAATGCTTTAGCCCACACCTTTACAGGTGATAATGGTGTTCCCAAAATAATAACTAAACACTCGGGCTACCTATAGTATTAATAGTACCGTATAGACTTTCATCTACTCTCTTTAGGGTGAACTTCCACTTTCTCACATTGATCATGTCAAGCCATGCAATAATGCATCATTTCTTACACATACCATTCAAATGTATTCTCATTTCTCGGTTAAACATTTATGATCACAAAACAATTTACAAACTCATTTAATAAACTACACACACACACACATAAAATCTTTCAAAAACATTTTCCCATTACAAATATTTTAAAAATAATACATATTATATATATATATATATAAATGAACATTTATTTTATAAAAACTTGTAAACAATCTAATATGCATATAAATAGGCAAAATTATCTAGTTACCTCAACCCTTTTATCACTAAAAAAGTTACTTATAGTAAGTCAACGCTTCCCTAGCCTCAACAACCTCTAACAGGTTTTGTGTTATGATAATATACATATTAAAATGACCATAAGTCAATTTTCATTCTAATGTAACAACTTCTTTTCTTAAATAAGCTAACCTAAATTCTAACTTGTATCTTTGGACAATTCAATGTCCTCATAATCTTTCATTAAATTCATTTGACTCTTACTAGACTTAATCATATCATTTTAGGAATTAAATTTACTTCTAAACCCTCACATAGAGCTAGGATTCATTTAACCTTAAATTCTCCCCCTTAAACCCCATAGAAACTATCAATCTTAAATGTAGAGACTTAACTCCAACAACCTTATAAATATCAGTGGGGCCAAACCAAAACCTTCCATCAACTTAAAATTCATTTTCTTACATCTTGAATCAAAATAAATTAGGGTAGATTAGAAGAGGAGGGAGATATGAAGCTTATCTAGAAGATGAGAGGTCATAATTAACTCCTGGGTGCCCAAATTTTAATGCCAAGCAAAGGAAACTCCTTTCTCCTTCCTCTTCTTGTTCTTTCCCTTCTTTCCTCTCTGCCATGTTTGATCGATGACTTGATTTAACTAAATTATATGTTATTTGTTGTGACATAAGAGGCATTTGCCATGATAGATAGCCCAATTAACTCACATGCAATTTGGGCCTTTACTCAGGCCTGCTTGGCTTGACTATCATCCTTACTCAATTCTTAATGTTATCCAAACATCCCAATAGTTTCATTAGCAATCCAATAATGCAATTAACATAAATAATACTTTATTTTACTAATTTACCCATAATTAGTTCAAAATTTCAAAATTAAAAATTTGAGATGTTACAATTACTATAACCGGCAGCCATGAACCTAATCCCTAGAGAAATTTAAGCACCATTT